TGTAAAATGAAGTTAAATTTAAAAATGAAACCAAACCCCCCCCCCCCAAGTTGGACAACAAGATACTTGTGGTTTTTCCATGAGAACTTGAGATTTCAGTTGCCACTTTTCAGATGGGTTGGCAGTGGATTTTAACCATGTGTTTATGGGACCAATCTAGAATCAGCTGTCTTTACAGGTCACTGATGAAATCTTCTCAGTCAGGCAGCTCCAGTGACTTTGTAAAAACTTATTTTCTGGTCTTTATCAATGTGAATGTAGTTTTCTCTCATACAGAGCTCTGAACAAAAATGTTAGGCTGTTCTATAATGGGCTTTATGTAAGTTATGTAGTGTTAATTTGGAGCTTGGAATAGCACTAGTGTGAGGTAGTATCTTAGTGTGTGCTCTGAGAATTGAGGCAGAAGAGAGAGGGATTTAGAAAGTTTTCTTTTTTAATGATCAGTTAATTTACCATGTAATATTGCTGTAAATGATAATGTGTACAGATATTCTGTTCATGTATTCAATTGTAAACTTGTCAATATTTGCATTTCTATTGCTTTTGTATGGAATGATTGCAAAAATAAAGATGTTTTAACTGAAAAAAAAAGAATAATAGGAATAGAAGAAGGATAAGAATCCCAGCTCAAAACAAAACAAAACAAAACAAAAAATAGAGAAAATGTTTAACACAATCATAGAAGAAAATTTTCCCAACCAAAGAAGTACATACCTACAAAGGTACAAGAAGCTTACAGAACACCAAATAGATTGGAACAGAAAAGAAAATACCCATACCACATAATAATCAAAATACTAAACCTACAGAACAAAGAAAGTATATTAAAATCAGCAAGGGAAAAAGGTCAACTGACATATAAAGGCAGACCTATTAAAATCATACCTGACTTCTCAATGGAGAACCTAAAACCCAGAAGGGCCTGGACTGATGTCATGCAGATTCTAAGAGACCACAGATGTCAGCCAAGACTATTATATACGACAAAGAACTTCAAGTCTTTGAAGAAAGAAATTTGAGAAGATATCAGAAGATGGAAAGATCTATGCTCATGGATTAGTGTGATTATCATAGTAAAACTGGCCATCCTACCAAATGCAATCCACAGATTCAATGTAATCCTCACTGTTATCCCAACACAATTCTTTACAGATCTTGAAAAAACAATACTCAATTTCATATGGAAAAAACAAAAAATCCAGGATAGCTAAAGCAATCCTGTACAATAAAAGAACTTCCAGAGGTATCACCATCCCTGGTTTCAAGCTCTACCACAGAGTGATAGAAACTGCATGGTATTGGCATGAAAACAAACAGGTGGATCAGTGAAATAGAATCAAAGACCCAGACATAAATCCACATACCTATGGACACCTGGTTTTCAACAAAGAAGTCAAAATTATACAATGGAAAAAAGAAAGCATCTTCAACAAATGGTGCTGGCATAACTGGATGTCAGCATGTAGAAAAATGAAAATCGATCCATATCTATTGCCCTGCATAAAACTCAAGTTTAAGTGGATCAAAGACCTCAACATAAAATCAGATACACTGAGCCTGATAGAAGAGAAAGTGGAAAATATCCTTGAAGGCATTGGCACAGGAGACAACTTCTTGAACAGAACACCAATCAGCAGGCAGTAAGATCAACAATTAATAAATGGGACCTAATGAAACCGAAAGGCTCCTTTAAGGCAAAGGACACCATCGATAGGAAAAACAACACCATACAGAATGGGAAAAGATCTTCACCAACCCCACATCTAACAGAGGACTGGTTTCTAAAATATATATATTTTTAAAAACCTCAAGAAATTAATCATAAAAACCCCAGATAATCCAATTTAAATGGGGAGGGTATTAATCTAAGCAGAGGATTCTCAACAGAAGAATCTCAAATGGCCGAGAAACACTTAAATGTTTAACATCCATAGTTTTCAGGGACTTGCAATTAAAATGACTCTAAGATTCCATCTTACACCTGTCAGAATGCAAAAAAACAAAACAAAACAAAACAACAAAAAAAAACAAAACACAAGTGACAAGCCAGGTGGTGGTGGCCCATACCTTTAATCCTAGCACTTGGGAGGCAGAGGCAAGTGGATCTATATGAGTTCAAGGCCTGACTGGTCTACAAAGTGAATTCCAGGACAGGCTCCAAAGCTACACAGAGAAACCCTGTCTCGAAAACACAAACAAAACTCACAAGTGACAGCTCATGCTGGAGAGGATACGAAGCAAAGGGAACACTCCTCCATTGTGTGTGAGTGTAAACTTGTATGGCCACTTTTGAAATCAGTATGGCGGTTTCTCAGAAAACTGGGAATCAATCTACCATAAGACCCAGCTAGACCACTCAAAGGATGCTCAAACATACCACTATATTCATAGCAGGTTTATTTTTAATAGCCAGAACCTGGAAACAACCTAGATGTCCCTCAATGGAGGAATGGATAAGAAAAATGTGCTATATTTACACAATGGAATATTACTCAGCTGTTAAACACAATGACATCATGAAATTTGCAGGCAAATAAAGGGAACTAGAAAAATCGTCCTGAGTGATGTAACCCAAACACAGACAACAAATATGGTATGTACTCACTCGTAAGAGGACATTAGCTTTAAAATAAAGGCTAACAATGCTACAATCCACAGACCCAAAGAGACTAGCTAACAAGGAGGGTTCAAGAGGGGATGCCAAGATCTCCCTGGGAAGGGAAAAAAGAAGAGATTTCATGAGTGGACTGAATCATTTGAGAAGGACCTTCAGTTGAGAAGACAGATTGGCCCATGGGGCATTTATGAGATCGACGACTGACTGAAGCAGGGGAGCTCAGCCCACTGTGGATGCGCCAACCCTGGGCAGATGGTTCAGAGCGGTAGAAGAAGGCAGGAAAGCAGGACTTGCAGATTGAGAAAGCCAAGAAGCAGCATTTCTCCAAGGCCTCTGCTTCCGTTTCTGCCTCCTGCTTCCTGCCTTGAGTTCTTGCCCCCCCTCGGGGATGGGAAGTGTAAAATGAAACGAACCCTTTTCTCCCCAAGCAGTGTTTGGTAATGTTGTTTATTACAGCAAAGGGAATAGGACACATGCAGACATACTCACATATGTATAATTAAACCTAGATTCCACAAGTTAGAGAAAACACGTAATATTTTGTCTTTCTTCCCATTATCCTTTCTTGTCCTCCTTTTTTCCCCCCCCCCCCCCCCCTCAGGACCTCTTCCTGACAATTTCCCTTCTACTTTCACTTACATGTCGCATATGTGTGTACATATATAATGTACATGTGTATACCCCTGTCTGACTAGGCCTCAAGCTCTCTGGCTCCAACTCCAACCAGTCAGAGGACTACAGGCGCATGCGCACATTCCTTAGCACGAACTCAGAGGGTCAAGGGCCGGTCAATGTGCACATGCATGTTCGTTCTCCTCTGGCAGCTGTGTTAAGGCCTCAATCCGGATAAAACAAAAGCAATAATGTATGTAGGTCTTCCCGAAGCAGCGGTTCAGAATGATCCCACACTGTGAGCAATTCTGCCAAGAAACAGAGGTAGGTCCAGAGTTTCTAAACCTTGACACTTTGATTCTTATTGTGAAGCTGCCCTGTCTGTATACTTTTGAGTACTCAGGCTGCGTCTTTGTGTTTGGCCTCTAGATGGCAGTAGTACCTCACATTTGGGACAGCGGGGTGGGGGGCGCCCACCCACTCACCCACTTGCTGAATCCCTCTGTAGGTCTGGAGAATCACAGCTTTCGTAAATACCCTCCTCGTGAAAATATGAATATGCACAACACAGGTAAGAATATGAGGCAGGACACAGGTGGGGGAAGGGAAATGAAATCAGATCATTGGCTTATTTTAAGATTCAGGAAGAGAACGTGTAAAAGAGTGGAGTTGAGGAATATTAGGGATTACTTAGTCCCTTCAGCAGGGACTTCATAGTGGAACGCTAATACCATATTCGGTCTGGTTGAGGACATGATACACATACAGCTGTGTCCGCAGCTGGGGTGCTGTGGTTTGGATACAGTTTGAGTATGAAACCCCAGAGATTCATGTTATCAATAGCTTGGTCCCTGTAGTGGTGATGCTAAGAGATAGTAGGACCTTTAAAGGATGAGGAATAGTGAGAGGATGAAGCTGGCCCCTCCCTGTTCTCTGATCTCTTGTCTTGCTGTGATCTAGTTCCTCAAGCACACATTCTACCATAAGCTGGCTTTTCTGGGATTTAACTTCCTAAACCAAGGACTAAAGAAACTTTCTTTGTGTTACCTATGCTCACATGTTTTATGTAGTTACAGATGGACTAAGCCACTAGATAAGCAGACTGTAGGGTGGACATTCTAATTTCCAATGCAGTTCTAGCTCTAGCGGAATCATAAGGTGGCCAAAAAGGCACAAGGGGCTGGAGCCTGTGGCAGTGTGTAGCAACTAGAAGGAACTGTAGAGTGGCCTGAGTTAGTGTCTATCTAGTTAAGGGCACCGAGTGAGTTCTGTTAATCACTTATATGGCAGCAACATGTTCTTGAAATTCATTGGCCATTTTGATGAAACATCTTGGGTGTATCTGCAGATGAACCTAAATGCGAGGACAGTCAGATCATCAATGCAAAAAAAAAAAAAGCATTGTGCTCCAGGACTTACTTGTTTTTCTCTATAAACATCCAAACTGCATCACACTGTACCATACTTAATGTCTGGGAAGGAAGGACAGAAATCTCTTCCAGGGTTGGGCAGGTCAAGACAGAGTGGTGCTGCTAGGTTGATGGGAAGACACTAAGTAAGTACACATTGGGGATCATCAGACCTCTGGCTGACACAATGAGAGCTCCAGATATTTATTTTGCGTCCATGGCTGTTGCTTCCAGATCATTGTGTATCTATTTCACGGTGCCTGGCTTAATCAGATCTATTTGCTTTCAGATCATTTTCCATCTATTTCATGGTGCCTGGCTTAATCAGATCTATATCAGCAAGTAGCATAAGTAATACTTCAAATAAATCAGCATAAAATGAGAAACTCATGAGAACAATTTGACCATGAATTAAATGTAAGACATTGCACAGAGAAAGCAGACCCTGGGTCTTTAGTCACTGTTTTTTTAATACAATTAGTATTTTACCAGACTTGAGTAACTATTGAAAAGTTAAAGAATTATAGTGAATTATGTAATATGTTTCTGAAAGCTGCAATCCAAACATGTGATGGGTATGTGTAAACATGAAAGCAAGTGAAATGTGAAAGTGGCTGAGATCTCAGCAGAGAGGGGCCGTGCTTCATACCTCCCACGAGTCAGCAGTCAGCCGTCAGCCTTCAGCCTTGTCATAACATTTGGAGGCTGCAGACAAACCCAAGGAGGCTAAAGCCCTCCGGGTCTAATGCATTTCTCCTGTTTCTTTAAAGACAATTTCTCTGAACAATCAATAATTTTACCCTGGCTAAATAAAGTATTTGTGGTTTTTTATTGTTTGTAAATAATTCCTGGTTGAATTGACTTCAGATTTCTTATAAAGAAAAACTTGAATTCTAAATATTGCCCATAGGAGAAATATCCATCTTATGGGAGTTGTTTCTCTGGTAGTTGAATAAATGATTTTTGGAAAATATTTACAATTTTCTGCAAGTCCCCACTTCAATATATGTATGTATTAGAAATAGAACAGTAGAAGATGTGGGCTTTTGTTGAAGGCAAAATTAAAGATGAAACTTGACTAATCTTAACCATTCTATACAAATTCTTTCTATCTTGCCCTCTAGTGTGCATATTTGTTGCTTGCTTTATTTGTACAGTCTGTGCCATGAAAGTTAGGACTCAGAGAGGAGGCTCTCAGGTCAGTTCAAGTTCTGGGGCCTCTAGACCCTGTGTCAGTAATGCATGATGTCTTCAGCAATAGGGATTTACCTTCCACCTCTGGGGCACATCCAAAGGCAATAGTAATACTCTCTACTCTTTTGGGGGGTCTCTTGGACAAGATGGGCCAAAGATTTAAAGATAACCTCTCATGCCTGGTGTTGGGGGGCAGTTAGACATTCTTTGGCTCTTAGGGGGAACATTGTCAGTCCAGAGGGGAAAACATTTTTTATAATGAATATTTTTATCCAGGACAAAAATAAACAAACAATCCCAGAAAAAAAACAAAGCAAAACAAAAAAACAAACGAAAAAAACCACAAAACTGTCTCCATCACTTGCAGTATCGGTCAGCTTTCAATTCGGCTTTCCTGTCCAGAAATGTCTCATGCAAAAACCCATCTTTCTGAGCCTTTTTAAGAATTTTACTATCTTCTTTGCTTATTTTGAGTTTGTGGTCTTGGAAGCTCTGAAATTTCTTTAAATAGTTGATTTCACACTGCTTCACATTTCCTTTGTCTTCTTCTGGGATGTCATCTTTCTTCTTGCTTTCTCTTTCAGCACAGGATCTAATCTTTATCATTTCTTCTCCTGCTGTTTTATTCTTTGCTTCTATATCGCCTGCTCCAATTGCATCTAATAAAGCAACTATTTGAAGCCAATAAAGGCATTTTCCCATCTTGAAACACCGGTTCCCATTGTTCTCTTGGCCCAATTGCATCTGAAGGCCCAACAACAAGTCCATCTGAATTTATACCAAGGTATTTTCCATAGCCTGATTTCAGGGCAATTCTGGAATCAGACAGTTTCACAGCAGTAAACTGCTCTGGGGGGCTGGGGCCCTCGTCAGCTTCTCTTTGTGGAGCTCCCAGTGTAAAAAGGTCATTGTCCAGTGCATGGATATAGGCTCCTTTATCCATTTCAATGGCAATGGTTCCTGAAAGCTCCCCAAAGTTGGAAACAGTCCACCAGATTCCCACAATATCAAATTGGGTTTCTTCATCTTCTTCCCGTTTTCTCTTATCTTTGCTTTTCCTCTTCCTACTCTTGGCCTTCGAACCCTTGAGCACGAGTTTGGTGGACTTTACATAGGAGTATTCAGTCATGGTTCCGCACTCAGAGGTGTCAGCCTCCATCGGAGTTCCTGTAGGCCTGGGGGAGGAAGTGGAGAAGGCCAGCAAGTGGCTCTAAAGGCGGGAGTTGAAAGTCACTCACGAACTCTCCACCTTCTTCCTCTCAGCGCCAGAGGGGAAAATTTTATCTAAACTATATATGTGTATTTATCCACATGCTCTGTGTATTCTAGGTTTGAGGTAGATAGCTAATAGTATATTTCTTTATTATGATTTCTTTTCAGATGTACTTACTATTATTTTATCCTCCACTTGTATTTATCTCCCTCTTCCTCTCTAAAGAAGTCCTCTTTCTCACCCCCATCAGATAATCTATACCCCGTTATTCTCCCTATTGCTCCTCCTACCCCTCCCCTTGGGTAATGGTCCCTTTTTACTTTCCTGGTTTCTGTAGTTACTGCAGGCAATGTACTCACATCTGATGAACTGGAGCTAGGAGCCTCTGACGAGAGAACATGCAATATTTTTCTTTTTTCTTTCTGGGTTTCAGTTACTTCACTCTATAATCTTTTCTAATTCTGTCAGGTCCATAGACATGGCTCTGCTTCATCTTGACTTAAGGTTGGAGAGTTCAAACCCACTATTTCTCTCTCAAGTTAAACAATAGAATGTTTGGCCTAAGCTGTGGCTATTGTGTGTCTTGCCTTGACCTAAGGAGTCACTAAAGGGTGTCTTAGTTAGACAACAGGATATTTGGTTTGGGGTGTGATTACTTGACATTTTCGGTATTGAGAAGGTAATTACACTTGCTTGTTCTTTGTATCTTGGTAAGGAAGTCTTTTGCCTCCTTTCCCTTCCCCCGCTTTGATTGGGGTACATAAGAGTTTTGAATAATAAACTTGAATAATAAGCCAGATGCCCTCCTCCCCGACTCTATCTATGTCTCTAGCTTGTTTCTTTCCTCAATCCACACACTCTCAGGGACAGATCAGATAGGTTGGCTGGACAGAACAGATGTCCTCGAAACGTGGGTAAGTACATAATTCCACGGACTAACCTGTAAATGTTTATTGTTTCATTTTCCTTTATATCTGACTAACATTCCATAGTACCCATGTACCACATTTCATTATCCATTTATTAGCTGAAGGACATTGGGTTGTTTCCATTTTCTAACTATTGTGAATAGCGAATGGTCAGCCCTGAAAACATACATACAAGTTAACGTTATACAGCATGAGTAGGTTGTACTTTTGTATTTAGGAATGAGTGTATATGTGTATATATGCATACATAAACATATACATAAATGTATATAACAACAATAAAAAAGAGGTCATCAATTTGAAAGGGCTGAAGGTGAAATACTTAGGAGGTTTTGAAGAGAGGAAAACGAAGGGAGGGGATGATGTAGTTATAGTAATAATATAGTCTCAAAAAATAAAAGAAACATTTAATTAAACAAAGTAATAAAATTTCCAGGACATTCTGTGAAAGCCAGAGGAACCATGCCTTTTTCTCCTCCCCATCACCCACTTCAAAAAAAAGAGAAAGAAGCCATTACTGCGGTGTTTGGAAGCCAAACCCAGTGTAACCAAGGGAGAATTTGAAAAGGCTTGTAGTACTTGAAATACCACTTTATAAGAACATACATGAAAGGCATGAAAGAATGAATTTGGCCAAATAAATACTATTTTTCTTACAACTTGACCAATGAGCTGAGTAACTTTGTTATACTCCTGATGAATTTTGCCCTAGGTTATAAACTCTAGCTAGCTTTTGTTTGCTTAGATTAACCAGTGACTAAAGAAAGGTCACCATGTTTTTCATGGTAGCTATGTAACTGAGCCAGCTCCTCTGTGTGTCCTTTCCAAAGAGTGAAGATATGTGCTTTTATTGCTCATATATGTTTATTCGAATTGAGGCAATCCTCCCCATGAAAGTTACTTTGTATACTCAGAGCTAAGGTATCCAAGGAGTGGCTAGGTGAGTTCAACATCCACATCGTTTCCATAGGGAACAGAAAGTTTTACTGCCCTAGTGAAATCTTACATAAGCCATTTCCCCTGAGACCCAATTATCAGTGTAATTTTTATTTTGCTCTTGCCTGGTCTTTCCCCTAAGTATTACCTGTCCCTGCCACCCAAGATCTGTTTTCTTTTTTACAGCTTCATTGCACAGTAAAAATTAGCAGGAAATTCAGAAATCTTCCCTTCCTGGATACTCTCTAGTCCTAAATTACTGGAGGAGATCACACCCTCTCCAGTGGTGGAGTAAGAAACAACACTGGAGAAGGGCAGGTGGTACATTGGAAACTGTGTTCCCTCCAAAGGTACTGTCTAGAAAAACTTTCCCCACTTCTGTGTAGGGACCTACTTCAAAAGAAGACAGTTGCTCTGGTATTTCAGAGAATGTTCTAGAAGAAAGAGTAATTATAGGACTTGTACCTTGAAGTTTATGGTCCACACTTCTGACTTCTGATTCTGGTGTGTGTGTGTGTGTGTGTGTGTGTGTGTGTGTGTGTGTATTATTGTCATTATATCTTCCCTTCCTTGAGAACATTTAGCCTGTGTTATGGTTTGAAACTGAAATGCTTCTGACTGGGTCATGTATTTGAACACCCTGTTCCCAGTCAGCAGTACTGTTTTGGAAAGTTGTGTGGCCTGATTAGTATGGGCATCACTGGGCATGGACTCTGATCTCCCTACTTCTGTTTGCCACTACTTGAAGTGACATCATACCAGCCCCACTCATCAGGATGAACTCTAACCTCTGAGCCAATAAATGCTTCCTTCCTCAAGTTGCTTCTTACAGGTCTTTTGATATCAGGGCACAAAGGCAACTAATGCATTTGATATGGTTGTGACTTTTTCAACTTGTCAAATTGGGGAATGTGTTATCTTTTCTTAATGGGGGTCCTCTGGCACTAAGTCTAGGAAAACAGTCTGATTATAATTATAGACCTATGACCAAAAGATGGTAGATAGTATTTTATGGCACTGTAGCTTGGCCACAATATGCCTTGAGGTTTGAGAAAGGTTGACTTAATTAGTACAGCATATTTAACCATATTTTTATTGTAAGAGAAAAAGATTAAGGTATTTCCTTAAGTGTATTCTTGTAGCAGTGCCCTGCTAGCCCAGCGCCAGAGTGATAGCAATTAGTCCTAATTCCCCTTGGGTGACACCTGGACTAGCCCTGGAGAGTTAGCCCCTAGTCTAATCTGTCCTTTGTTGACTGGATATCTTTTGTCCCTCTATGTGACTTCCCAAGAATATGAAGGCCTATGCAAAACTTGGTTCAAGAAACCTAAAAAACTGTGGTACAGTTTGGCATTGTGTTTTTGGAAGCTTCATTCAAGTTGTTCTGAGCATATGGTAATCAATGGCTAAAGTGTAAATGTAGAGAAAAATGAAATTTTCATGACTTAGACATAGGAAATGTACTTCGGTTCTTCCAAGCTAGGGTTCCCTGCAGCCACAAGACTCATTCTTTTTTTTTTTTTCTTATTGGTTGATGAATAGAGCTTTTTTGGCCAATGGCCAGGAAGACCTGCAAGATGCCTGAAGTAGGACCAGAAAAGCCCTGTACATGGCCTCTTCAGTAGAGGGAAAAGCTGGGAGTTTGGCATCCTCAACAACTCCCATATGACCACATGGCAAGACAACTACTTCAGGTATCTTCTCAAGAGCCAGAAATGTTTTTCAGCAAAGCTATTTTCAACAGGACGAGGCACACTATGAAGAGTCTCTCTCCTTGTCAATAACTGAAGACATTAAACGTGTGAAATGCCAGCCAAATCCAGTGATCAACCAGGCACTGACTGAGCTTACTTTGTGAAATAGTAGCCCACAAGGTCCAAACAAGACTGCTGTTTTTAAAAAAAAAAATATTAATTTATTTTTTTACATTCCAATCCCAGTTCCCCTTTCCTTCTCTCTTCCTACTCCCCCCGACCCCGCGCCCCTCCTCCCATCTGCTCCATGGAGAGGAGAGGGTAAGACCTCTCCTAGAAAGTCTTCTAAGTCTGTCCCATTATTTCCTTGAGGCAGGACCAAGGCACCTCTCTGTAGGGGACACAGTAACCACACCTGCTAGGGGCTGGCTACAGGTGACATAGGGAAGGTTTAAGAGTGAGGGATGCACACGTGGAAGCCCCTTCTTTCTTTTCATCATCGGCTTGCTGTACTTACTCTGTGCCCTGCCAGCTGGCTAGGTCGCTCTGTAAGTAAGGCATCCCCCTAATAAATACCCTTATATTTTTACCTGACTCTGTACTGGTAATTCCCACATTACCTCCCCAAGCCCACACCCCTGTGTCTAGGCTAAGCAAGGTATCTCTCCATATGGAATGGGCTCCACTAAGTCAGTTTGCGCATTAGTGTTAGATCTTGGACCCACCGCCCGTGACCTCATATATTGTCCCAGTCGCACCATTGTGTCTTTGAGTCTTGTTTTGACAGACCGGCAGGTACCCACCCTGTGCTGTGGCATCTGCAACATATTCTTTTATGATGATATGAGAAGGCTGTGTTGAATCTTCTGATGGTTCAGAGGCCAAGCAAGACCCCTTCTCTGTTTCCTCAGAGAAATCTGGAGAGGAGAGAGATGGTGACACAAAATGAGGCCCAAATAAAGCAGATGGGAAGGCTCTACTAAATGGTTACCCTCATTTCATTCAGGTAGGATTGAGACTGAGGCTCCCCAAACAAAATCTTAATGAACAGGAGAGGTCTTGAAAAATGCCTATTGAGACTCGGGAATGTAGAGAGAAAACTTACCAAGCTTACCAGTATCACACAGTTGTAGAGTCAGGAAGACTAGATGATTGAAATGTGATAAAGATGACTGTGAAGGAGAAGTACCCCAGATAAATGGAAGAGATGATGAGGAACTGATGAATGAACTTCTTTTAACTAAGAGTTGCCACACATAAGGTTTTTCACAACAAAGAGCAATGCTTAAAGCCAGAATTCAAGTGCTGCTGGCTTCCTTTGTCCTGGCATCTGGAAGGAAAGGAAGAAGGCCCAGGCAAAAGGTGAGTATAGACTAGGCAAATATCAGTGCACTGTAAGGATGATGGTCTTTAAAAGGACAGCTATGTTTTTGTAATTTCCCATAGAGTAAGGAGAGACATTCAGAAGACTCAGAAGCCAACACAACAAGGTTCAGGAAACTGAATGCTTAGAGACTAGAGAGGCCTGTGTCTGTTCCTGAGTGGTGCTGATGGAAAACGATGAAGGTAGGCCCACAGAAGCAACTTTTGTGAGTTGTCACCCATGCTGAGGGTGTGCCTCTGTGTCACTTACACTCCAGTAAGTAGCCCCAGTGACTTCAACAACTCTCTAAGAAGACGTGAGTGGAATCATGTCTTTGGTCTGCTGATAGTGCCTTATTTGGTATGAATAGATGTTTACATCTCCCCCAGAAAAGTTACTACACAGATTGCCTTCACACTCCCCAAGCAATGGGAAATTCTCAATAAAAGACCTGTTCTCTTAATGTTGGGGATGGAAAAAGGCTTGGGTGAGGATTAAGAAGGTCTCACGGCTCCTACAGATTTGATCCAATTGATTTAAATTTCCGCAGGGGTTCTTGTGAGGACTTCAAGATTGGTCCTCTCATTAGTTTTTGGAATGTCAGCCAAGTGATATCACTTTAAAATGGAGCTTTCTTTGCATGCCATGGTTACCCAAATCCCTCTCAGGCAAACTAAGTAATTGTTAAATTCTTTGCCCACGACAATAATATAAGCAGGCTTTTCCAGAACATTCTTTACAATGATAGATTATTCCTTGTGGGAAGGGTGTAATTCTAATCTCAGGGGAGCTGATGTCCTCTTTAGGACTTTACAGGCACCAAGTGCATGTGTGGTATACATACATACATATAGGATAGCACTCATATAATAAGATAACAATAAACACATTTTAAAAATAATTTATACATATGTATATTTATATACATTTATATGTTATACCCTGGAAAACCACTCTTACTTGCCTGAGGGGCAGGATTATGGCACAAAGGCTTGAATGCTGCATTGTTTTTCCTCATAGGGAAATATTACTAAATTTCATTTACTTTTTCATGGTTTTACTTCCATATATGTGGAAAGGTACACATTCTTTTACAGTCTCCTGATGGGGAATGTCCTTCTGTGTATGTTTATCTTATTGTTCAATAAAGCACTGTTTGGCCAATGAGGAAGCAAGATAGGTGGGACAAGGAGTCAAGGAGGATTCTGGGAAACGTAGTAAAAGATCCAGGCAGGAAGTGACATAGCAGGCAGACTCGGTATATAAGCAAGGGCAAGAAGGAAGTTGGCCCTTTCCCTTTCGTTCTTTCTCCTGCTCTCTTCTCTGAGCCACAATGTGATCCTGGGATGAGGATGCCAGTGGAAGGCATCCTACATAAGATAAGTCTTATAAAATATATAGATTTATGATAATTAAGACTGAGCTAACAGATGAGAAATTCTAGTCACTGGCCAAGAAGCATTTGTACCTAATATAAGTCTCTCTGTGTTACTTGAAACCTTAAAGTGGCAGCAGGTGGAAATTGGGCGTCTTGGCAGAAACTGCCCACATGACGGCAGGGCTTGAGTGGATGGAGTAAAGATTTGTTGTTACAGTCTCCAGTTTCTGTGTTTTTCTCTGGTCCAAACTATGGGCAAGAGTGACTGGTTAGTGCAGTATTTACCTGGGACTTAGCCCAGAAAGATTAAAATTTCCTCCAAGCAAAATCTGTGAATGAAATGAGTTTGGATAGCAAAGGACAGACTATACCCTGAGAGGAGAAAGAGGAGCAAGTGAAACCCCACAGAGCTGAAATGACTCCTCATAAGTACGAGGAAGGAGACGTTCCTCAGTGTAGGTGGCACAGTGATGAGGGTTAAAACATTGCCTTGCCAGCAGTACCCATGAGGGGACCTACCAGGATGTTTGCCCATTGCAGCAAACACTTTGCCAATCTCTCCACCGATCTCAGCTGTGATACCGCATTGTTTAACCATGTCCATTCCTGTAAACATGGGCCCGGATGCAGCCATTCAGCCATGGATAGCCACTTCTTTGGCTGATCTCTCCTTCATTCAAAAAGCAGCCAATGATTCTGGTCCCAATTTGCCCTACTTCAACCAGATTTTATGCAATGAGCAATTCATTTACATCTTTATCAGGCCATACATGTATTACAACAACAAATTGACATTTGGCTAAGGAATTGACTTTGATAAAGGACATGTCATTGTTAGCGTGTGACCCCCGATACCAACCAATTTGTCTCACCCCTACAAGGCTTTCAATACTTCCTCAGAAAGATTCTGATTGACACAATACATACAAGGAACTTGGTCAGACAAATTCTTCAATTACACCATATTGCTTCCAGATGAAGTTCATCAATTAAACATGACTAGGGTCCCATCCATGCCCTTGGAGACCAATTTTTTGACAAGTGTGTGGAGCAATTTAAAAAGACTCTGTGATCTCTCCTGGATCCTTATATATGTTTTGCTGCGGGGGGAGGCACTGCTAATTCTTCTTTTGTTTAAATGTCTTCTGCAGCATATTTGTTAACAAAAGGTTGACCCTATAGGGTCACCATGGTGACCCTATAGGTACTAATGGCTCTAGGATACTCAGGACAAAATCCTCCTAGAGAGACGATGCATGCATGGCTTACTGAGATACTAAAGGCTACTGCCTGACCCACCACCCTGACAGCTTGCCAGGATGGATGCTCTTCTAAGGCTGGTAGTCCAGGATGGGTAAGAATCTGTTTGACAGACTGACCTAAGACAGGCATAGTCCGTTATGCCGAGCCCTCCTGAGGTGGAGCAACAAGGTCAAGACAAAGCACCCTAGCACCCACTGTGTCCAACAAATAAATAAATAAATAAATAAATAAATAAATAAATAAGGTAGAAATGTGGGATAACTCAACCTCAATGAGCCTGGCAGCCAGCCTATACTGATAGCCAGCCTGGGTCTGACATAGGACCTTGACAATAGCAGACGAGAGATGACAGGGACTTATGGACACTGACCACATCACTTCAGCAGATACCAACTCAGTGGATCTCCTCCCCTGGGGCAGAGTTGAAGAGTATATAAGGCTTACTCCTTTCTGGAATAAACTGAGCTTGTTATTTTAACTTGTTCCTGATGCCTGTGTTGGTGTAGGGCCTACTTTCCCCCCACTCCCAAGAGACACCTGTTGGGATCCTGCAGCAGGGCTCTATAGATTAACTCTACACTAATTTTAGCCAAGAATACACAAAGTCACCCATCTTAAGTTCCTCCTAGTTACAAGTTATGGAAAAAGTCTCACATAGAAGGGTGGTTGCTGGAAATCCAGTTTATAAACTATACAAAACATCAATCAGACAGTTCACTTCAGTATGTGCACAAACTTTAATCACTAATGTCTTCTTCAGATCCTGTTGAAGTCCTCAATCCTGTGTACCTATGTGAAGGAGATAAGATAATAACCCTTCAAAATAATCCTGTTTGAAACAGAAACATGGAGGCCTCCGTCTTGAACCTATGTATCTTCCTCTGAGAAATCATGCAAAAGATTTTCCCCTGGGACAAGAGGGAAATGGTCTGTGAAAGAAAGAACCTTCTACCTTCCAAGATGCTGGCTTGTCAATAGTTTTCATGACCCACCCTCTCTCCCTAACTTCTTCCACCACTGTTATTCATCACTTCATTCATAGACTGAGTAGTCAACAGTGACGTGAATCTTCTGGGAATACACTGGTTTTTCCCCACGCTTGTATTTAATAAACATGCCCGTGGCTTAGCATGGGTAAATCTGAACAGCATCAGTTGTGTGTTTCTTGGGTGTTGTGTGAATGACCCAGGCTATCCCTAACATTAGAATCCAGAACTCATAAATGCTAATCCTTAGGGATAATGGTAACATCATCCTTGCAATCCATGACACATAGAAGTAAACAGTTTGCTGCCATTCACACACACACACACACACACACACACACACACACACACCACACTCACCTGGCAGAAATTATATGCATATACTATAACTAACTGGAGGGGGGCTCCAGTCAGTATCCAGGGTATGCAAAAATTCCACAAATGGGTAGAGGGAATTAGGAAAAATTCTTATCTACCTGAGGATTAGACTTTTTCTATCTGAAGGTGAAAAATAAGAAAACACGGGTGCTTTCTGATGGTAGCTTTCTTTCATCTTGAAAAAAAATCCTTTCTGAAAAATCTCTCTTCATACCTTCATAATTCGCTCTACACCCTTTCTCCTTGCTCTATTCAGCAGCTTCTCTCTAATGAACTCTCCAGGGCCTCCACCTCTCTCTCTCTCTCTCTCTCTCTCTCTCTCTCTCTGTCTCTCCACCCTTCCTCCACTCTTTTACATTACCACACCTCCTCTTAAAGCCAAACTTTGGACAATTATAAGTTACATTTTCAGGGCCGACCCATTCTAATAACACAAGATAAGTCACATTCTTTCTCTTAGGCTAGGGTTGTCACATTGACAAGCCAGTAAGCAACACTTGGCCATTCATGTAACTTTCCCAGACAGAAAATGACATTGGAATTCAAGACTTAACAATAACAAATAATTAGCTGGACCTTGACTAGTAGGGAGTATGTGCAGAAAGTCCATGTATGTCTACAAAAGTTCTGCAAGCTCTGATCTTGAATTAGCAAAACACCTGGGAAAACGACTGCTCATATTTGTCTCTAGGACCAACCAGATATTCATCTCCAGGAGCAACCACCCTGCTTTGAATTTGTTCTGAAGTCTAAAATTAGATGTCTGCATAAAAAGCTGTCTTTGTGACTGAGAATCCTACATCAGTCTAGGAAATGTAAAATATCCTAGCATTATTTGTAATTATCAAAATTATACAGGTTAAGCAGAAATCATCTTCCTGACCAAGCACAGCTATATGTGAGCCCAATAAATGTAAACACACCACCAAAGGGCTGTGGAAAGGACCCCACAGTCGTTCTTAACAGGGAGATATAGCAGAGGCACTTGAGAAAGTTACAGACAGACACAACCAGTCATTTACACTCAGGAGCCCTACAGATTTTCCAAGCGGTGCTTCCCAGTAGGGAATTATACATCAGGTGGGTTGACACGTTAAATACTAGTTTGCACTGCTGTATATTCCCACAGCCCCTTGCAACCAACAGGTCTGGACAAAACACCTTCTTTTTCTCTATGCCTGCTAGTGTTACAATCATTGGTTTTGCTGTTCCATGACCCCATGTGTTCTAATTTGCTTTCTATTGCTGTAATAAATGCCACAGGCAAAAACAGCTTGGGGAAAAATGTTTATTTGAGTTACACTTAAAGATAACAATCCATCACTGAAGAAACTCAGAACAAGAAGTCAAGGCAGGAAACTGAGAAGGAATCATGAAGGAATTCTGCTTGCTGGTTTACTTACTGCAAAATGCACAGCTAGATATCTTATACAGGTCAAGTTGACCAGCCTAGGGATGAAACTTACCAGAGTCGACTGTGTCCTAGAACAGGTAAGAATTAAAAACAAAAACAAAAACAAAAAAGCCACAATATGCCCATAAGCCAGTCTGATGGGGGCAGATCTTTCCAGATGACCTCGGGATGTTTCAAGCTGAGAATAAAAGAAAACAAGATACTATGCAAACATGCAATTTCATCTTTTAAAATGTCACCAACAAGATATAGCAAATTTGTTATTGAAGTTGCTTTGACTGAATATTTTTAGCATACAAATATTGAGTAAAGTTATTTAGGTAATTTTCGGTATAAGCAACCTAAGAAAGGCCTTCCTTCTATTTCTCTAAAGCTAAAGAGTCTGCTTGGTTACTAAGTGCCCAATAATGTGAGACATCTCCTGCTTTCAAACTTTCCCTGTTGCTCATTTGTTTTGCTCTGAGATTGTACTGTAGTTAAGAGTTTCTGGTGTTCTAAAGTGAAACCTTCTTGGAGAGAGTTTCTTTGTCCAGCACACTGGCAGGAAGAGGATGGGACACTTTCCTACCTCAGGCACAGACATGAGAAAAAAACATGGAGTCACAGGACTCCAGAAGAGGAGGAGTCAGTCCTGGTCATGAAGTGACTAGAAGTGAGGGGGATGGATGTTTCCTTTTAGACCCATCAATGACAGTGAGAGGTGAGACAGAGGTGGCAGGAGCTAACACATTTAGAACTTGGCATTTCAGCAAGCTATGCAGTTCTAGACAAAGCTATCAGGAAGGAGAGCAGGAAGCCTCAGTGACGCCTACATTAACTTCACAGAGCTGAGTTGCATTCAAAATTCAGGGTTTATTTCCCCAGTGAGCCTCAGAGCCCTCTCATAGCACAGCAGGGCCTCCTGCATGTTCCCTTTCAGTTTGTGGACTAACCCAAGGAGGCCGAGGCTCTCCACAAGTTGCTCCTCATGGTCAACACGTCTTTCAGCCACTTTCTCCAAAGCTGTGAGAAGTTTTGTCTGGGCAAAGGATGATTCTTCTATCTTTAGACCCTTTAAGTAGTGGGTGATCGCCTTGTCTTCTGATTTCTGATGAAATTGTTGGAAACGGCCATAGCGGAAATGAACATCCTGCTCTATGTGACAATCAAGGTTCCTCATGTTCAGTGCCTTCTGGAAGTTTGCCTCTGCTTTTTCATATTCGTGAATTTCTGCCTGTGCTTCAGCCATGCAAACATAAGCCATCTCAAGTGTGGGCCTCAGTTCCACTGTCCTTTGAAATTCATAAATGGCCTGTTGTTGCCAATTCCTGCAAATTGCACTGCTTTCTGGGTTGCCTGTTTCTGGATCTCTTCAGTTGGATCATTTGTTGCCTGTAGCAGAGCCCTACTTGGTAATGCAGGTAGCCAGAGTCAGGTGATGCCTGCAAAGCCCTGTGTAGGAGCTGGAGAGCCTTGTCTATGCAGCCTTTCCTACAGTAATACTGGGCTGAATAGCGAAAGACATATGTTTGGCAGGATGCGCTGCTGAGGGCGTCTTCAATGTGTGTTTCTGCTTCAGGTGTTTCTCCCACATCCTGAAGCTTCAGGGCAAGATAAACTTTAAGATATGGATCTTCTGGATTTAAGCTGACAGCCTTCCTGAGGGGTTCTAGAGAAGTATTATTGTTGTTGAAGTCTTCACGATAGGCTGCAACAGCAAAGCCAGTGTTGTATTCAGGATTTTCAGGCTCCAATTCCAGAGCCTTTGCAAAGCAGGCCATGGCTTGTCTATAATTCTGTGCACCACATTTCAGCAAGGCCCAGCCTTCCTCACAGTCCATCTCAGCACACTCCATCCTGTAGCTGAAGGGACTTGCAAATTCCTTGCAAATGTTCTCCACCTTGTCCAGGTAGGCCTGAGCTTCTGACAAGCTGCCCATGTTGTAATGCACCCAGGCACAGTTGCCCCAGGTCACCAGGCTTCTCTTGTCCAGCTTCTCCTTCTGGGTCAGGGCTTCTGCTTCTTTCACGCTCTCCAGGGTTTCCTCATGCTGGCCTTTCAGGTGCCTCACATAGGCCAGCAGGTTGTGCATCCCTGCTGGGTTCTTGATGTCTAGGAACTCAACCTCTTCCTGGATTCTCATTTCCAAATCAGGTAAGTCAACATCTTCAATCAGCAGTCCCCATGTGAAGTGACACCTCAGCTGAAGCAGATTCTCCTTCACCTGATCACCACCAGCATGGTCTCTGTGACAAGGAAGGAAGCAGGATGGTTTGTCATGTGAGAAATGACCAGAAATTGACTCCAAGCAAACCACATTTTACAACATTCTTGTCTTTTCTTGAAACTGTGACATTTTGTTCCTTTAGAAGTTCTTGATTTAGTTCACATCAATCCCTCTGCTCCTTTTATTTGAACTGGCAGAGACTCATTGTGCATGCATGTACACACACTAGGACTTAGAACCTTAGGTGATAAGTTAATCATTTCAATAAAGACTGGACATGGTCACACAGGTGTAGACACACATACATACATGGCAGACTCCTGCCCTGAGGTTTGGAACCCTAAAAAACCTTCCCTCCTTTCCCACTGTCTTCCCTCCTTTCCCACTGTCTTTGAGCTCTGCACATGCCCCCTGAGCTTATCTAAATAGAACCAGTCCATGTTTTAAAAACTGAATATGGAGGAAAAGTCATTACAGGGTCTGTGCTTTCATTTCCGACACAAACAAGGATCTGGTATGATGTTGGAAGTAGGCTGTCTCTTCCTTGTGACACTAGCGTTATTTCTGGGCATATTTAGTGGTGGACTTCTAGGGACTGAACAACTTTACTGTCCTTTCCTGTAGTAACATGCAATCCTTAGCTTTTTAAATGTTTTTACAAACTTCATGCATTTTCTTGTCTTCTTACAGAGTTGTACAAGCCCTTCTTAAGTGTATATCACTTCATGCCTCAGTATCATAGCATACCCATCTGTGAAATGGAATTACATTAGTATTTCCCATTTCTGGTATTTGGGGGCATTAGTGAGGCTATAAATATAAAATATACCATAAACTCCATGGGAGTTTTCTTCACTTCTATCAGTGTTGAAAATAAGAGGTAGAATTTATTTGCTAAGGTTTTGTGTAGGTAACCCACAACAAGACCCCAGACAAAACATGATGGCATGACTGAATCCTTCTGCCTAGGCTGCAAAAGAAAAATCCTATGGGCCCAGTGTCTTACACAACAAAATTTTGTTTCTGTAACTTAAAAAAATAATCAATGTCAGAATACCTTGTCTCAAGGTATTCTGGGAAAGTGAGATAGAAAAAGAAAGGGAATGTGACACGTTTTCAGCAAAAGTAGGGAGACTTAGAATCTGTTGATACTACCTATCCAATAGCATGGGAAATCTTTCCATTTTCTGGTATCTTCCTTAATTTCTTTCTTTAAAGACTCAAAGTTCTTGCTGTACAGGTCTTTCACTTGGTTAGTGTTATCCCAAGATATTTTATGTTGTTTGTGGCTATTGTAAAGGGTGATGTTTCTCTGATTTCTTTCTTAGCCCTCTTATCATCTGTATATAGTAGGGCAATTGATTTTTTGAGTTAATCTTGCATCCTGCCACTTTGCTAAGTGTATTTACCAGTTGTAGGAGTTCCCTGGTAGAGTTTTTTGGGACACTTATGTAAACTATCATATCATCTGCACACAGTGAAAGTTTGACTTCTTCGTTTCCAATTTTTATCTCCTTGATCTCCTTTTTTTGTCTTATTGCTCTAGCTAGCACTTCAAGTATGATATTGAAGAGCTAAGGAGAGAGTGGATGGCCTTGTCTTGCTCCTGATTTTAGAGGAATCGCGTCGAGTTTCTCTCCAATTCATTTGATGTTGGCTGTTGGTTTACTGTATATTGCTTTTATTATGTTCAGTATGTTCCTGTTATCCCTGATCTCTCCGGGACCTTTATAATGAAGGTGTGTTGAATTTTGTCAAAGGCTTTTTCAGCATCTTGTGAGAAGATCATGTGGTTTTTGTTTTTCAGTTTGTTTATATGATGGATTACATTGATGAATTTTCATATGTTGAACCAACCCTGCATCTTGGGGATGAAGCCTACTTGATCATGGTGGATGATTTTTCTGATATGTTATTGGATTCAGTTTGCTAGTATTTTATTGAGTATTTTTGCATCAATGTTCATGAGTGATATTGGTCTGTAGTTCTCTTTCTTAGTTGAGTCTTTGTGTGGCTTGAGTACCAAGGTAATTGTAGCCTTATAAAAAGAGTTTGGCAATGAACCTTCTGCTTCTAGTGTGTGGAACTATTTGAGGAGTATTGGTATTAACTATTCTTTGAATGTCTGGTAGAATTCTGCACTGAAGTTATCTGGCCCTGGGCTTTTATTTTTGGTGGAGACTTTTGATAATTGCTTCTATTTCCTTAGGGGATATAGGCCTGTTTAAGTTGCTTATCTGTTCTTCATTCAATTTTGGTAAGTGATATCTATCCAGAAGATAGTCCATTTCCCTTAAATTTTCCAATTTTATGGAGTACAGGTTTTCAAAGTATGACCTGAAGATTATCTGGATTTCCTCAGCATTCTGAAAGCAGCTTGGTACTGGAACAAAAATACACAAGTAGAATAATGGAATAGAATTGAAAACCCTGATACTAACCCACATACCTATGAATGCCTGATTTTTTACAAAGAAGCTAAAGATATACAATGGAATACAGAAAGCATCTTCAACAAATGGTGCTGGCATAACTGGATGGTGGCATGTAGAAGACTGCAGATAGATCCATGTCTATTGCCATACACAAAACTTAAGTCCAAATGCATCAAAGACCTCAACATAAATCCAGCCACACTGAACCTCGTATAATAGAAAGTGGGAAGTACCTTTGAATGAATTGGTACAGGAGATAGGTTCCTGAACACTACACCTGTAGCACCAACACTGAGATCGACAATTAATAAATGGGACCTCCTGAAACTGAGAAGCTTCTGTTAGGCAAAGGACATAGTCAACGAGGCAAAATGGCAGTCCACAGATTGGGAAAAGATCTTCACCAACCCCATATCCAACAGAGGGTTGATCTCCAAAATTTACAAAGAACTCAAGAAGCTAGTTTCCAAAACACATAATAATCCAATTAAAAAGTGGGGTACAGAACTAAATAGAGAATTCTCAACAGAGGAATCTAAAATGACACTTAAGAAAGTGCTCAACATCCTTAGCCATCAAGGAAATGCAAATCAAAACAACTCTGAGATATCCTCTTACTCCAGTCAGAATGGCTAAAATCAAAAACACCAATGATAATTTATGCTGGAGAGGATGCAGAGAAAGGGAAACAATCTTCTACTGCTGGTGGGAATGCAAACTTATACACCCACTTTGAAAATCAATATGGCGATTCCTCAGGAAAATGGGAATCAGTCTACCACAAGATCCAGCAACTCCACTCTTAGGCATATACCGAAAAGAAGCACATTCATACAACAAGGACATCTGTTCAACTATGATCATAGCACAATTATTTTAATAGCCAGAACCTGCAAGCAACCTAGATGCCCCTCACCTGAAGAATGGATACAGAAAATGTGGTACATTTACACAATGAAGTGCTACTCAGCAGAAACAAACAAACAAACAAACAAAAACAAAACAAAACAATGGAATCTTGAAATTCCCAGGCAAATGGATGGAACTAGCAGAATCCATTCTGAGCGAGTTAACTCAGTCACAAAAAGACAATCATGGTATGCACTCTCTCATATATGGATTTTACACATAGAGCAAAGGATTACCAGCCTATAATCCACACCACCAGAGAAGCTAGGCAGCAAGGAGGTCTCTAAAAGAGACATACATGTTCCCCCAGAGAAGGGGAAAGGGACAAGATCTTCTGAGAAAATTAGGAGCATGCGGGGAGAGGGAGCTAGGAGAATGAGAAAGGGAGAAGAGGAGGGGTAAGGAGGACATGAGGGAGCAGGAAGACTGTGTAGGGGAAGAAAAGAGGAGAGCAAAATAAGAGTTACCATCAAAGAGGGAGCCAGTATAGGTTTACAGCGAAATCAGGCACTGGGGAAATGTCCAGAGATCTACAAGGATGACACCAACTAACCATCTAAGCAACAGTGGAGAGGCTACCTTAAATGCCCTCCTCTGATAACAACATTGACAACTAACTTATATGCCATCCTATAGCCTTCATCCAACAGCTGATGGAAGCAGAAGCAGACACCCACAGCTAAAAACTAAACTGAACTAGAATCCAGTTGCAGAGAAGGAGGAGTGATGAGCTAAGGGGTCAAGACTAAGCAGGTGAAACCCACAGAAACAGCTGACCTGAACAAGGGGGAGCCCTTGGCCCCCAGATTGAACACTGGGAAACCAGCATGGAACTCATCCAGACCCCATGAATGTGGGTGTCAGTGAGGAGGCCTTGGAAATCTATGGGGCCTCTTGTAGTAGATCAGTACTTATCCCTAGCTTAGGAATGGACTTTGGGATCCCATTTTGCATAGAGGGATACTCCCTCAGCCTAGACACATGGGGGAAGGCCTAGGCCCTATCCCAAAGGATATGACAGACTCTAAAATCCCCTATGGAAGGTGTCACTCTCCCTGGGGAGCAGAAATGGTATTGGGTAGGTAGGGTGTTAGTGGGGGCAGGAGAGGAGGGGAGGCAGAGGGCAGGGGGATTGACATGTAAAACAATCTTGTTTCTAAGGTAACTAAAAAAATCTAAAAAAAAAAAAGAAATTAGAATCTGGAAGTAACTACTTTGAAATTGGGACTTTGGGGTTTTAGAGAACTACGTCTTATTAAGGAGATAGATGGATAGATGTCAATTCCACTTTGGGAATCTTACAATCTTTTCATTAGTTTTGAATGCCATTTCTCTACAAAAGATGAGAGATAGAATTCATCTCCAACTCCTTTGAACATTTCACCAATATAAGTGACCAAATGTAGACTGAATAAAGATGACAACAATGAACAGGAAAGATACCAAACCAGAGTGGGAAAAGCCCATGAAGCCTCAGCTATACATAAAGAACAACGAACATTCAATGGGGCTGGAGCTGGAGAGGTGGTGTTCCTCAGTGAAGAGCACAGCCATTGGTTGGCCAGTGACAGATGTTTAACCTTCATCTCTCACATAACAAGAAACATCACACACACAGGACAGGTTATACTTAGGAATATATGTGTACGTAACACACATGTTACGATAAATCTTTCTGCCAAACGCCACCGGAGTCTCACCGCCACCTGTGCGCTTTATGCCAGCCGCCCGCTGGAGTTAGGGCCCAAATGAATACACAGAAACTTGTATTAGGTTCAAATGCTGCTTGGCCAATGACTAGGATTTCTCATCTGCTATCTCAGTCTTAATTATCATAAATCAATATATTTTATAAGACTTATTTTATGGAGGATGCCTTTCGCTGGCACCCTCTCTTGCCAGTGGCTCACATGGCGCTGCTGGAGGAGGAAGGGGAAAAGGGACATTTCCTGTTTCTCCTTTCTTAAATATGAGTCTCCTTGCTATGTCACTTCCTGCCTGGAACACCACTTCTCTGCTACATTTCCCAGAATCCTCTTTGGCTCCTAGTCCTGTCTAACTTGCTGGTTCTTTGGCCAAACAGAGCTTTATTCAACAATCAATAAGATTAAACATACACAGAAGTACTTCCCCCATCACACACATATCTATGTTCATGTATACATGCACTCAAACACAATTTATGAAAAAAAAGAGGCCATGGATTTGAAGTGGAGCAGGTAGGGCAAACTGTGAGAGCCTTGAAAGGGGAAAAGAAAGGGAAAAATGTAATTAGATTCTAATTTCAGAAAGAAACAAAATAATCATGTGGGAGAATACATTAAAAGGAATGAGGGAAAAGCAAAGGAAATGTTTGAAACAGTCAAGTGACCAGCCAATAACTTTCTTTTGGGGTTTCCACTTCATGGTATTCACATGCTTTTTTTTTTTTTTTTGAGAAGGAAAACAAAGTTGTTTGCAGCTCTTTTCTCAGTAATAGCACTGAGATTGCGATCCTTATGCTGGCCGGGAAAAACCATTACCCGCTGAGCCACCTGTCCAACACCATTCAAAGTCTTCCAGTGAAACAATTGTGATACTTCCTTCTTCATTTCACATGGCATTTCAGATCTTAAGGAGATTAGCTTGATTGGGGGCCATAGAGGAAGCATCACTAGTGACCACAAAACAAGCCTGTTTGCAGGTGAACACTGGCAGCCCTTCCTTCCCTAGGCTTCTAGTAATGGACAGAGGATGCTTGAAATGTCATTGATGTACCAACCTAAAGAAGAGACAGAGCTATTTTTTCCTTCCATCTAAACAGTAATGAGCCTCATGGCCCAGGCCTCCTTAGGCTGATCCCTCTGCTCTATAGTGCATTCTATTTCCAGGGAACTATTTTGTAATGAAATGTCTCTACTACTGTTTATAATCATGTGCCACTGGACCAGTAAATTGATATTGAACACAAATATTTGGATATTTGAAAAGTGCCCCTGCGAATGTTTGGCAGTCGTTCTGGACTCAGGTCATTACTTGTATCATTTGATGAGCCAGGCTAGAAAAAGATAAAACCCTAAGACATTTCTGTTCTCTCAGTCTTTGTCTGTCTGTCTGTCTGTCTGTCTGTCTCTCCATCTCTCCCTGTCTGTCTCTGTAATTTTACCTTCTTTCTCCGTCTCTGTCTGTTCAGAGCAAAAAGATTCTTTCCCCCACATATAAGCACTCAGCAAGCCAGAGATGGTAAACTCTCAGGACAGTCTCTTGTTTTTAGACCCAGAAGCTTTGGAATAGAGGCCATTAATAACATGGTGATAATGCTATCTGTAGAGCCAGGGCATATTAAGCTCCCACAGCAGGACCAGAGATGACCAATAGTCTAGGTAACGTTTGCCTTTATCTGTATGGCTAGAGCCTCCCCCAACCCCCCAAAATCAGGGTGGGAGTTAGCTAATACCCCAAATGACCTCTATACTGTTTGTATGACTGACACCACAACAGATCCTTTTCTAGATAATACCTGAAACCTATCTCTGCAACCTGTCTTCTTGGAAGAAGTGAAATGTACTTAGAGTTGAGAGTCAATGTAATTATGCCTTCTTGTGCATGATGGAGATTATTATATTACACAAGGGAACTATTTGTCCCAAATTATACTGTGCTTAAATATACACTGCTTAGATTAGAGTCTAGGAGTGTGAACAACACTGGCTAACTAAGTTGTGTTCAACCAGTTTTTCCTCTTACCTCATGAAGACAGTTAATCTACTGCCATGGAATATGCAGAGACCCCAGAAATTTGTCCTTCCCTGATTCTCTCTGTCTCTCTCTGAAAGTATCAAATGCATGGGTAATCCTTCTCTTCCAGAGAACTTAGAAATGATGGACAGAGTTCTGTAGGAAGATTCATCATGGCTCAGGGACATCAGATTCAATCCTGCATTTCTTTACTTCCCCTGCATACAGCAGCCCACAGCTAGAATTAGAGATTGTGTCCACCTCTTTTGGGAAATAAAGCCATTGGGGGGGGCAACTCAGAGCTCCTGAACACTGGACACCAGCTGCCCAGGAAGTTGAACCTTTACTGGGCTCACCAGGCTTATCAGGCTCACCAGGATCCTTCTGAGGATCTGTGATCCAAAGCACAGCCCTTGTGCATGAGCTCTTGCAGCAGGAAAACTGAGCAGTACAGAGGCACAGCCATCTATGTGGACAACAGGGACAGAGAGCAGCCAGGTCTTCACAGCCCACCTGGTTTCTCGGGATCCCCCATGCAGGTGGAGAGCTCCAGCCTTTCTCACACTGCAGGCACTCATTTGCACACCACAGTCCTAGCCACCTGTTAGAGTGATGGGAACTGGAGACCCAGGCACAGCTTGGTCACTGACCCAATGACCATGACTGTACCTGACTTAACTGCCTTCTGACCTCTAGTTAACTTGGTTCCAGTTTTTTTTTTTTATTTTTCCATTGTGATCTCTGTGTTCTGTCTCATCATATAACAGAAGCTCTCAGCCTCCTCCATACCTATTTACTATAAATTATTTTATGTTCAAGGACACACAGTTAGTTGCCAAAATGTGGAGAGAATCACTGGAGCACTACATGCAAGGGAAACCATTTCTAATGATTGACACTTTAAACCTGAAAGAGAATTTCAAACAGACAAGCCAGAGACATTTACATAAATAACCCTCCCCACTATGCTAGTATTTCTCTCTGTTATATGTATATGTGTGTGTGTTTAAATTTGTTGTCTCTCATTGGGGGACTGAAAAAAATTTATCCTGTCCATTGGTTAACCCAGACAGGAATGGGTAGAAATCACCTGTCACAAACACCTTGAATAGAATCTCAAAAGGTCTTGGAGTCAGTTTAGTTCTTCCCAGAACAATGAGGGCCTTGGGGTCAGGAGCTAGGCCAGAGGACACTCTTAGCAGCAACTTCTTCTTTTGAGCTACAGAGGTGGGTAGAGCGGTGCTTTATCCAATCCCATAGGTATCATTGGTAAGTCTCTCTTTGTGTGAGATGAACATGCTAAAGTCTCCCCCAGACATTTTGAACTACACATGTGAGACAGATTTAAAAACTAAAGCAAGATCGCTTTCTCCCATCCAGCCCTGTACCCACATTACTGCCATTAAACAAAATCCCTGAACCTTCAGGACAATCAGCATCATTATTCCCTTTTCCTCAGCAGAAAGAGAAACCAGAGGACACAACATAGGAATATAAGCAGACTCAGTCAGACCTGGCCAAACACAAATGTCTGTGTCCTGTGTTCACTCAACCTGCAGAGCAGGGAATTCCTTACCCCATGGTTGTTGTGAAGCTGGCAACAGCTGTCTGGCTTTTCACCTGGATAGGGCTCCTCTGAAAATGTTCCTTGACGTTCTTCTGTCTCATGGACTTTCTCAACACCTGGACTCTCAGATAAAGGTTGGGAGACAGCTCTGTAAGCTGTGCTAAGTTCTTGATGTCACCAGGAGGAAGCTGAAACTGGAAAGTGAAACTGAACCTTGCAGGCTTCTCCTCAGGAAAACTGAATGGTACCAGGGATTGGTCCTCCTGCCCTCTCCTCTGAGCTGATGGTGAGAAGCCTCTGTAACAGACTGACATGTCAGTTCCATTCATCTGTCCAGACAGAGACATCCCTGGCACCAGAAGATGCTGTTAGACAGGGATTGATGGAGGTGATGTGGATATAAAGAACCCAGTCTGGCATCTTCACAACACAATTGTTCCTCAGTCTAAAGGACTGAAGTTGTGCACTCTCTCCTTACAAGGGAGACTCTACTCATGAGGCTCTGTTGTTTTAGGATTTGCTAAGATGCCAATGGGGAAGTGTGGTGATGGAGGAGTCCATCTGCAGGTCAGGGCCCCTGCAGTCAGGAAGTGGTTCATAGGAGCTTGCTTGATATGGTTATCCTAATGAACTTCTGCAGGTGTCATTTTCTAGACCCCTCTGCAGAGCTTGTCAGTATACCTGAGGTTTTAGGAGTTAGCCCTTCATTAACTAGGCCAATTTCCCAGACCCTACAACCATGAGGCTTGCTTTGTGTTACCTTCTCCTGAGATGTGTGGTTGTAAAGGCCTCTTGCTACCAGTCCCAGCCCCATAAACAAGAACCCAGCATGTAATCTCTAAAGAGTGCTGTATGCAGTGCCTTGATGCTAACCTATCCTAAAGGCCAAGACAGATATAGGAAACCACAGAAGGTGGGACTCAGATAGGTTCAAGCCAAGGCCAGGATTTGTCCTTCTCTTGATTTTCCTGGTTAACCTGTTTTCTCAGCCTATTGGTATCCAGATCCTTAGCATGGCCATTGATCCCTGTCTCCACTAATACAGCTCATCTTCATACCTCCAAATATGAAAGTCATTGACAGGAACTTCAATATCCACCTCTATCTCCTTGATGTTTTCCTCCCCTCCTGACAGTTTTTCTGGTCAGAGAGTTTCAGCCCTAAACCTCAATCAGCTGACACCAACAGGAGAAGGGGGCTCTTTGGCCACTTTCCCTAATGAAGGTTAAATATGTAGAACCTGGATGGAGATGTGTGTGAGCAGGTGTCAGAGTGAAAATGCTTGCTATCAAGCCTGCCTCCTCCTGGGGTCAGTCCCCATATTCCATAGTAGAAGGATGGGACAAAATCCAGAAGGTGGTATGGTGACATTCACACACGTTCCATGATACATTGGTATCTTCCCACACATACTCACAAACCCTCACAAGCCAGTCACATGTCCATGAACAGATAGTAATAATGCATTTTAAAAGGGTAGAATTGAAAAGCCCAAGGTTTATAAGGTTCTTAACTAAAATTGGTTTTTTTCTTTGTGTTATTTTTGTCTTTCCTTGAGCCTTAATTTAGTGTAAAGTCTCCATGCTTGCCCCCTGACAACTGTCTGTGCATGCAGGTATGAGACAAAAGAGGAAATCCAGAGGGCCCACACACAACTCCTTTCAACCAGCTCTGTAAGTGCCCTGCATGTAGTTCCTCAAGAGACTGACCTTCAAGTGCACTGAGGTAACATGGAGTCACCCTAGCCTCAGCCTTACAGGCATCTTGTCAGAAGTATGAGGAGCTCAGTCAATGTTCTGTGTACTCTAAGATAGCCAGTGGCTAGGCTTTTCAGGGTGTCCAAGGCAGAAGGATGTTCCATTTCATAAATGATCTAGAGTCCATTATGAGGGAGATGTCACAAACTTTTGTCCACTACGTAGAGCCAGAATGTGCACCATCTTCCAGTTACTACCCGTCCATCAGAGTGATGAATGATTTATACTTGGAAGAGGTAAGGAGGCTTCCCTACAAGATCATTGTGGAGAAACCTGAATCCTGCATGAGGAGGGTCCATATACATCCCAGGCCCTGCCTCAGCAGTGGTCTGTGTTGTTTTCTTGGTCTGAGTTATAACCAAAGGCCACGTGGATCTGGGGTCTGTGCTGTCATAGGAGGCCATGGAGATATTCATGGGCAGAGGGGCCTACAAGAGCCTCATCTAGGTCCATTGTTCTACTGCATCCTGTGTTGGTGTCTATGGTCTAAGTTCATCAAATGCTATGGGAATATCCTTTGTCTGAGCTGCCACCTCAATGTCTGTAGATCATGCTGTGGAAGGGTACCATATTGATGTGACCATGTTGATATCTGTCAACAGGACAGTCTATGAGGGCCTTGTCTTTGTCAGTGGTCCACTACACCATAAGGCTGTGCTCATGAACTGTGATGTCTCCAGAAACTGATAGGAGACTCATGGCCCATGCCCACACTGACTTAAAGAGCAAGGGGACTAACTACTTTTGTTGCGATAGTGATGAAGATGACTGCAGATACAGAGTTGACAGGGCCAAAGATGGAAAGTTTTTATGACAATCCCTATCCACCTCAAACCAAAACTGCATAGAAAGGAAGCCATCAAAGAGAACTCGAAAAAATGGGACAGAGGGCTGGAGAGATGGCTCAGAGGTTAATAGCACTGACTGCATATACAGAGGTCCAGAGTTAAATACCCAGCAACCACATGGTGGCTCACAACTGTCTGAAAAGTGATATTGTGCCCTCTTCTGACCTGCAGGGACACATGCAGACAGAATACTGTATACATAATAAATAAATAAATCTTTAAAAAATTGTGACAGAGACAGACTGTGGTGGCACATGCCTTTAATACCAGCACTAGGGAGATAGAAGTAGGCAGATCTCCATGAGTGCAAGGCCAGCCTGCTCTATATCACGAGTTTTAGGACATCCAGAGCTACACAGAGAAACTCAGTCTCAAAAAAAAGACACACACACACAAACAAAAAAACAAACAAACAAAAAACAAACAAAAAACCAAAAGGGTGACAGAACTGTCATCTGTAATGCCAGGTACCTCCATCAACTCTCCCCAGCCTCCTCTGATTCCCAGGACTCCATAGGCAGAGCCTGGTCAATATCTCAGTTGGAGGTCAACATGGTCTGCAGAGTGAATCCCAGGAAAGCCAGAACTACACAACAAGAAATCCAGTCTAAAAAAACCAACAAAACAAGTAAACAAAAATTGTGACAGAGTAGTTGTCCACACCTGACAGTGTGTGAAGTTAGGTGGAGGTTGTGAAATAAGGACTCAGCTGTGTTGAAGGGGCAGGCCACTAACAATTTGACCATGCTTCAGTGAATAAAGAGATAACACAAAGTAGACTTCCTTTTTTGTTTTTAATTATTTATTTATTGATGGATAGGTGTTGTGATTTTAGTTGGGGAGGACACAAGAGGGCTTGGTGGTCATGGCAGGACAGTGAAGGGATTGTGATCAGGGTGCGTATTCTGAAATTCCCACAATTAAAAACAAAATGGCATGTGGAGAAAAAAATTATTATAGACAATTGAAAATTGACAAAGGAAAAGGCCCTTCAGGGAAATTAAGCCCAAGAACTTACCTGAAAATCAGATGAGGAAAGGATGTGTCCTCTGTCCTTGGATATCATCCAGGGAATACCAGACACTGACACTGGGCTGCAGCAGCCCCACCCTGACCTGTCATCTGACACCTGATGTTTCTGTCAAGGTCTGAGGACTCTGTGACCAGCCTTAGTCCCCTCCCTTGATGCAGCCTGCTCTACTGCAGGCCCTGCCCCCTCATCAGCTGTCCTGCCCTTTATCTGCCCTGCAGCTCTTGCCCTTTGACTCATGGCCTAATTCCTCAGCATTGCTTTTGGTCTGAGCATGGCAACACCACCAGCTGTCTCTACCAACAGCTCCCTCCTGGCCCTCTAACACATCTGTGGCTCTTTTTCATATGGGATCTTTCTCACTCTTCTTTTGAAACCTTGAACTTTGCAGTAGCTTTTAAACTCATATTCATTGTGTAACATATTTATTTTTATAGTATACTTATTTCCTGTGTACTGTGTGATATGAGACTTCACATTAATAATTAAGTTTGGAAATGGTCTACCAACTTTGGCAGATTTGTATCCAATTGTTCTCACTCCGTTTTAGTTCCTTTTCCCTGGCTGTGGTAAAATACCATGACTATAAGAAAGTGTTTATTTGGGCTTAGTGTTCCAAATGCACAAGAGTCCCTCTTGGCAGAAAGGTATAGTGGCAAACTACAGTACTGCAGTCAGTAGAAGGAAGGAAAGAGTACAAACAAGAAGCCCAGAGGAAAGAGAAAGCAGGTGAAGGCTGCAATGTGACCCCTTTGTGTGTGCAATGATCCCTTCTAAGTGGTCGACTAAGACCTTCTTAGAGAGCAGATATTCACATGATGATTCATAACAGTAGCAAAAAATATATATATGAAATAGCAAGGAAAAGCTTTTTGTGGTTGGTGTCACCATGACATGGGGAAGAGTATTACAGGGCTTGAGTATTAGGAAGGTTCAGAACCTCTTCCCTAGGACAACCAAACCTCTTCAGTCATATTAAACAGCACCACTTAGCAGGGGCAGCTACTCAAATATAACAGCCTGGGGGACAGTCCCAGTCAGACTAGCATACCCTGAAACTGCTAAACTTTGTGACTTTCTATGTTTTAATGAATCTTGCAAAGATGTGGGCATTTTTCTGTTAGCAAGTCCCCATAGCAAAGCATCTACAACTTCTCTTTGTCTTGGTGCTAGCCCACAGCAAGGAGGGGCTGACACTCTCCTAATGACCATAGCTCTCCTCTGGTTTTGGAGAGTAGATAAATCTTTTTGCACAATGCATCCTTGGGCAAGTCTTTCAATCCGGTGACTCTGGCCATAGTTTCCAAAGGACAATAGCTCCCTAAACATTCCTGGCTAGGACCAGTCCTTATATAGTGTCAAAATTTCAGGCTACCCATGTCCCCTTCTGAGTTCCAGCTTTTGCAGTCAGAATTAACAATAGGACTCTGCTGAATCTAGGATGATGAGTTTATGTTCAGTTCTTTCTGCTATCTAACCGGCTATGGGCCTTCTTGCTGCCAATGTAAATGCCCCCCTGTTACAACCACTTGATAAATGGACAATTAC